GGCCACTTCTGATTGGTTATCAATGGCTGGTACATGTGGAGCACAGCACTTCTGATTGGTGTGGATGACTGACACACAAGAAGAAAAAAAAAAAAAAAGTTAAAAAAAGAAATGTTATAAAAAATCGCAGGCCTTGCGATTTGATAATCGCATCATTTAAAATCGCGATTTCGATTTAAAATCGATTAATCGTTCAGCCCTAGTGTACTTGTCGGTATTTGATAATAATTCTGGGTCAACTTCTGTCTCTGTGGATGAAAAGATGTTAGGAAGTAGTTGAGCAGTCTTTTCCCTGAGAAAAAAGAAAGAGCAGTACGGATACAATGATGTAGCCGTTTGGCCAGGATAAATACACTGATAAAGCATTCCTTCTTTCTCGTCTGCGCTCTGTTCCTGCTAGACTGAAATATGCTATTGGTTATTTTCTGACCTAAAGCGACAACAAGTAAGACATAACAGTGAGGGGAAAAAGCCTAGCTTATATAATGCTTTGCTCACAAGAAGGCTAAGAAAATAACACTTCTGGTGATCAATTCTCTTAGTTGAAATAGTTTTCCCTCCTGGGTTGACTGAATGTTTTCACAGGATAGTATTTTTCTTGAAGAACAGTAGTTTTTTGTTTGTTTTGTTTTTCTTGCCCGATGAGCTTTAATTACTTTTGATGTATTATTGAGATAGGATTTCAAGCAGCAGATGAGCAAAATAAAGTTCACAATAATTTGTTCTAACTTGCATCTCAGGGCTTCCGTTGCTTACAGTAGTCTGCCTGACGATTGCTAATGCTGTGTGGTACAGGGTATAACAGCAATTCATCACAGGTATGGTACAGATGCTAAAAACAAATAGAGCACAGCACAGTGAGGGACATTATTGTACTATTCAGACACCAGGCAAGGCTTCATGGACAAATCACAGAATGGAAGTGGCTTTTGACCAATGTTTTTTGTCTATTATGTAATCAAAAAAGATACAAATATGTTGCATTATCTCTAGAAGAAAGATGTGATTACAAAAATTCTCAATGTATGAGGCTGTTTAACCCCTCTGAGTGATGATGCATAACAAAACGCCCTTGAAACAGCTTGGGAAATTGCATAGAGCACTCCACCCATTCAGATCCCAAATACATTTCAGGTTCAAATAACAGCAGCAAGCATCATATCTCCCTTCTCCTCTCCTTCCTGATTGTAACTCTTTTTCCTTTTTGTTGTTTCCATTCAGGAGCTCGCTGTGAGGAATGTGCTCCGGGTTATTACGGCAACCCCTCTCAACCCGGAGGCCGCTGCCAGCCGTGCCAGTGCAACAACAACATCGACATGTCAGACATGGAGGCCTGCGACAGGCGGACCGGAGAGTGCAGGAAGTGCCTCTACAACGCCGAGGGCCCCAACTGTGGCATTTGCAAGAGCAGCTACTTCGGGGACGCTTCCAGACGCAACTGCAGGAGTGAGTGAAACATTCAAAAAGAAAAAGCATTGGCTTGCATGTTTAAAGTAATAATCTTAAAGTCTATTTAAATACATGTCTGTTAAAATAATATCTATTTGCCCAATAATGTGAGAGTATGTTGATTGAACTTATGGACAACTGCTGCATTTGACGTCATTCACTGAGAATGATAAAAGCTGTGCCCCCTCGAACAGATAGTAACCCCTTTAAAACGTTATCATTATGCATGCTTTATTTTGCCCTTCAGAGTGCACATGTAACTTCCTGGGTACCGACCGTGAGCAGTGTATGGAGCGTGAGGACTGTGTGTGCCAGCGTGCCACAGGGCAGTGCCAATGTCTGCCGAACGTCATCGGCCTGACATGTGACCACTGCGCCCCCAACCACTGGAACCTGGCCAACGGGAAGGGATGTGACGCCTGCGGCTGTGACCCCAACAACTCTGTCACCTCATCATGTAACGAGGTAGGAAACACTTGGGGTAACACCTTCAAATAGGCACATTCTATGTATACAGCATACATATGAGATATAATCATAAACATTGACAGATACAAATGAAATTGATGAGTCATCTTCTATTTTTCAATCTGTTGGGCAGTTCACTGGGCAGTGTCAGTGTCGTGATGGCTTTGGTGGGAAGACGTGCACAGACTGTCAGGAGAACTACTGGGGAGACCCGAGGACACAGTGCAGAGGTCAGAAACATAATGACACTGAAAGAAAAGAAAGGGGTTGTGATGAACATGTTATATAGGGCTTTATAGATGCTCAGGCGGAGAGATGATCGCACAGTTGTTTGTACCTAACAGTGAAAAGATACCATAGGACAAAATGCTCTCATTCACAGTTGGTTTTTAATACCTACCGAAAGTAATGCACTACAACTCTTTTATAAACCATGTAATCGTCAGTTAGGATGTTCAGGGCTGCCTCTAAGGAGGTCAGGTGACGTAGTATAAAGAGAGAATAAGTTCACATGGAGGAGAAGAGTCTATTTGAAGTGTTTCAGGATACAGGACACCCTCCACCTGAGACCACTTCCCGATGAATGCACTGTTGAGTGCATTGAGAAATTAAAGCTCATTTAGAAGAAAACACAAATGCTTTTAGTCCTTTCTATAGTAGTGGTGCACTCAGCCTCTTGTGGTCAAAATGGGTAATTCAACAACAAACACAAGATAATTCACATGCCAAGGATAAAGGATTTTATTAACCTAACATTTTTTTATTTCTGCTCTAAAAAATCTGAATATTGATCACAAGTTTTATTTTCCTGATGTACTGCTCTGTGCCTCTGTATACATATGTGTAAACAAATTCGATGTTCTCATTACAAGCTTAGACCAGTTGTCTCATCACACCACATTCCCTCCTTCTCCTTCTCTCTGCAGTGTGTGACTGTGACTGGCGAGGCATCGAGTCCTCTCAGTGCAACAGGGTGACGGGCCACTGTGTGTGCCCGCAGGGGGTGTCGGGGGTCCGCTGTGACCAGTGTGCCCGAGGCTTCTCCGGACAGTTCCCCAACTGTCAGCCCTGTCACCAGTGCTTCGGGGACTGGGACCGCATTGTGCAGGTGCGGTTTGGTACCAAAGAGGGGGTCTAATTCTCAGATGCCAATTAAGAAAGGTTGAATAACTTTTCTTCACACTCTTTCTGTCTCGTTTCCAGGACCTAGCAGTGCGTACAAAGACTCTGGCAGAGCGTGCCCATGAGATTCAGACCACCGGGCTCACTGGGCCCTATGAGAAGGCTTTCAAGGACCTGGAGGAAAAACTGAAACGAGCTCAGGAGATTGTCAACGCGCGCAACGCCACCGCAGCAGCCGTCGCTACACTGATGGAGCTTATTGAAGATCTTAGGTACAGCTGTTGTGTCCCACTGCATTTTGAGTTTCCCAAGTAAAAATATCCATCTGAAGTCTTTCTTTATGTGCAATGAGGTAGCAGTATAAAGATTAAGTTAGTAGGAGGGAAAAAAAGTCTGTGCCACAAAGTCATAGATTATACTCTTTACTACTTGTACTGTGATATATCTGCTTCAGTCCTGACGAAAAAAAACATTTTCTTTACTGTTTACTAAATGCAGTGGGAATTTCAATTGTTTCTCAGTCGGGATTAGCAACAACGTTGATTTAAATGCATGATGTTTTTGTGCAGAATACCAAGAAAATAGCATAGTCATATAGGGCAATATGAGCAAAACTGGCTCAATCTGGCAGATTGTTCAAAAAAATAAAAGCTTGATATTATATTGAAAAGGAATCCAACTTTGATACAACCAACGTTAATATCTAGGTCGTCTCCGATACCAAGCTCCAATGCTGATAAGGCTCTGGAAAACGGCTGTCCTGCCTTTAGGACTAACCCCCCAGAATCTACACGCAAGATCACCATAATCTGTTTAGGGGGGCCGCTAACAGCGTGGCCTCTAACACCAACTGCCCGTCGTATCACTTATTTCAAGCACTAAAGCGTCGGATGTCCGACCGCCAGGATAGCAAACGGAGTGTGTAGTGCAGTAGGTGTTGGTGGGCTGGTAAGACCCCAGAGCAGTATCTAAACTGCCCCTGGAGGAGAAACCCGTGTCGTTGGGAGACTCCCTGGCAATTAGGGCAGCTTCAGGACCCACAATCCCTAACCCCCTCTTTTGAACTTTAGTTATGCCAATTAAAACAATGCAAGTGTAAAATCAAACATAGCCAGAGTCAAACTCTAATATCACAGCAGTGACATTACCACACCAGCAGAGCACATGTCATATTTCAGCATCAATCAAAATCACATCAACCACAGTAACCAATATGAAACTACAGCTTAACCTTAGCAGGGTTTCTATTTCCCTTAAACCAGCGGTTTTCAAAGTGTGAGGCGCGCCTCCCCTGGGGGGCGCCAGGGAGCTTCAGGGGAGGCCCAGCGTGAGACACAAAAGAACGAGAAAAAGACGAGTAAAGTGACACTTGCCCACTTGTGGCTGTCTGTGGAGACCGAGTTCCCCCACCTCGCCAAAAAGGCTGTAAAAGTGCTCATTCCCTTCACCTACCTGTGTGAGTGCAGGTTTTCCGCATTGACTTTGATCAAAAGGAAGTACCGGTCAAGGCTGCAGCCAGAGGATGATCTGCGTTTATTCCTCTGTGCATCAAAGACGCAGACTCATTGTTCCCACTAAAGTAGGGGTGAGTGTAATAAGGAGGCAAAGTTGACGTTCAGTGTTGCCGGGAGCATATAAGGATTTATCCACCATGTTGAAAATGTTAAAAAAAATATGTCTTGAGAACACGGCGTGCGGAAATATACGGGTCGTGCTGCAGCTAGATGTGCCTGTCCTCTGTAAGAAGGTGTCGGCGACTGACATGCAAGGAAGAACGGCTGTCCACAGGCTGTTCCAACTTTGACAACTGTATTAACTTCCAGGGTAGTGAATTGAACATGCAATTGTAATTGGGTGTGTGGTATATTTTCATGCACGGACACGCATGTTCCACAACACACAAACTGAACAACACTCAATTTTCCGATCGCTACCAGCGTCCTTGCGATCTTGTTATAATAACAAGTGCACGTTACTGATGCAATATGGTTGAGACCATTCGGGCTTATTCTAGAGGGGTGCAAGGAATAGCCAAGTAGTGGGGGAGTTTTATACAATATGTTTAAAACATAAAAATAAAAAGGTTTAAAAAAGTTATTGTTTAATGTTTTAAGGAGGTGACGCTACTCAGCCAATCAAATCGGTGCAGTCAGCACGATAGATTCAAACAACACACACAGAGACGAGACAAGAGGAGAGAAACAGTCGGAGTAATTTCAAATGGCGGAAGGTAGACAGCGAAAACAGAGCATTTAATTACATTTTCTCTTACTGGACCTCTTTGAAATGCAATTGAATACCCCTGCATTATAGCAACAACAACAATAATAACAATAATAATAATAATAATAATAACAGCAATAATAATTGGGAGGGGGGGCGCGGCTGTTCTTATGTTCTCTGAGGGGAGGATCACCTACCCACACTTTGAAAACCCCTGCCCTATTGCATCATCCCATACACTGCCACTCAGTGGAAAGTCAGTGTAAGTGCATGATACATTTCTCTAAACCAAGATAGACGACAGAAAGCC